ACTGATGGGACTGGAAAACAGAAGCCACAAACAAAACAAACAAACTGTAATCTTGTATGTATTTAACATAATTCCATGTGATTACTGCAGCCACCACCTCTGATTGCCTGGGCCAGTTCCGAGGGATGAGGATGCTCTGTCTGTCCTGTCCCAGGCCTCCCGAAGCTCTGGGTCATTGCTATCCAAGTAGGAGGGAGAAACTGCTCCATCTCCTCCTTCATCCCAGGAGCTACTCCCTCAGGCCACCTCCTCAGGTACTGCACATGCTATTCATCTGTCACTTGTCTTCTTCCTCAGGTATTGTAGGGTTTACCTTGGTTCAATTTTTCGTGCCACCTTAATGGTTTACCCTTTCTTCAGTGAGATCCTGTATTTGATTTTGCTTCAGTTCTTTAACCATAAAATGAAGATGCTTTTGTCTCACACTGAAACAGAGCAGTCCATTAAACAATCTCTGTCCTGTATCTGGCCAGCTGGATGCTGGCATCTCTCCTGATACTTTTCCCCTGAGGAAGCAGTTTTTCCAGCTATGTAAGTCCTGGGCCTGATGCACAGCTGGGTTTGCTGCTGCTGTTGCTCAGCAGAGTGTGGTGTGGTGTGGAGTGGCAGCCAGCTTTATAAAGGTTGCAAAGGATGAGAAAATAGTCTGATTTGTACCAGTTCAGACCGGGGATAGAAGGCTGTGGTGGGATCCTAAAACCTGGGTTACACTCCAAGGCTGCCAAGATCAAAGTCTTCATTTAATTATTTACAAGGTACCATGCAACCAAAAATGTGTGACATTTTTCTGTCATAGAGCCAGTAGGAAAGAAGAAAATCAGCTTCCTCTTTTTCCTTCTTTCCTTCTCTCTCTCTCTCATTCTAATATATTTTGTTCCTTTCATTCTGTATACTGTTCTTCAGAATTATTCTTTGAAAATACTTCCCTCCTTCTATGCCAGCACTCAGTCACTGATAATCTGTCCCAAAAATGCCTGTTTTGGGACATTCTGTTTTGGTCTAGTGCTGTTCAACCACTTGTGTCCTGCAATGATAAGCATGCTACAATAACTTACATTTTTTCATTTTTCACTTATCTGTTTTCTGAAGTCTCTAAAGAGAGATTTATACAGACTACACTTTCTCATCTTCCATAAAACTGGGAAAAAAAATTTAATGGGTAATAAACCAGGAAAGGCGTCTGCACTGATGTTTAATAGCTAGAATCTACTGATTGCGGTTAAGGTTTTTCTAGATTTAATCTGAGCAAGTATGAAGAGAAGCAAGCACAGTGAAGGGGCTGTATTTGAGTGAACATCAAATAATAAACAAATCTTGATGTGGAAGCAAAAAGAGAGTCAGGAATAAAGGATGTGTGTGAAGCCATATAAACAAAAAAATACCACTTCTGGTTTGCAGCATTTGGAGACATTGGCTAAGTTAAGTTTCATACAATTCTCTGAGGTCTGTGCATGGCCTCTTAAGGCTCTACAGTGTGGGGTTTTTGTAGCATTGAGGCTCCTTATCAGAAAATCATGTCAGGGTCTAGTGTTGTCAGAGCTAGTATTTATGTAAATTCTGGATACCAAGACTGAAGAACATTAAATTAAGGCAATGCACGACAGTAAGAGATGTGCCATTTTTCTCATCATGGTGATATATGAAAAGAATTATCTCGAGGAATATCAACTTCCTCCAAGGAGCAAATAATTTATGTTAATGTCAGGAATTAGAGATAAAAATGGAGATTCACAACAGAAGCATGGATAATGCAGAGGAAGAAAAGAATTTCTGTAGGAAGGAAGAGTTTCCATGGTATATGAAATAGAAGCTATAATTAGGCTATAATGGAAACACTGAAGATTTATTAAATGTGTTAATCATAGCATGGAAGAGCAGCTGAACACAGGTTACATAGTTCCTGTGGGTGTTCATACTATTCACTAATTCACCGTTTGGGCTAGTGAATCCAACAGGCTCACCTGTGTTTGAAACAGATGCTCTTGTGAAATCATGTGTCTGATAGGAGGTAACAAGAGGTAACAAGGCTGCCAAAACCTGACATGATGGAAAAAAAGGGGCTTTCTAGACTGGGTCATGAGTGGTCATGTCTTGGAGTGAGAGGTGACTGTTAGGTAGGGCAGAGAAGGCTGACAGAATGTTATGCTTCAGAGCAAAAATAAGTTGCATATCTCAGGACTTGTGCTGTGGTGTGGTGGTACTGAATTGCTCAGATCTCTGTGATTCAAGATCCAGCATTATCTGTGGTGCCAGCTGCATCCCCTGGGGCCAGTGCGTGTCTGACATCCCATTACTGTTTCAAGTAAATCTAATTAATTTAAATACTTTATTTTCACTAATAAGGACTTTTTTGTTGTTGTTGTTGAAATGGGTATTCCCTAAGTATAACAAAAAGGTAAAAGGAAGTTAAATTAGTCGTATCATTCAGGATGTAGAAGTCTAAAAATCACACTATGCTGTATTGCTTTCCATCAGAATAAAATCTCTTATGCAGTGAAATCTGAGCTGAGTTGTTGCTGTGGCAATGTCCATGTGCCCATGTATTTAAAAAGCTGTATTTTGTATTTTCGAAGTGTTGACTCTGATTTAGATTTGAGAGTCAATGCTTTACTCCTGGAGGAATTCCTAGAATGCCATTATGTACATATGTACTTAAACACTCTTCTTGGCTTCTGGAAACCGTATGGAAAACTCTTTCCAAAATTCATTTCATGATCCTTCTGATGTCCTCTCTGACCAAGCTTTGTCAGTGCATAAGAAAAGATTAAATTAGAACACGAAAACCTCAGCCATGAACAATGCATAGACGCTACCAACAGTTTTCATAGCACTGGCTACTGTTTGCAGAATATTGCCATTGAACGCTTTAACTGTCATGTAAGATTACTGGAGGAATTTTTCTCTACCATGTTCAAGAAACAAGCATGTAAATTTGCAAACCAAATACTCCCCAGTTGCCCAAGAATAACAGGATAAGAAATCCCTCACTTAGACTGGAAAAACAAGTGCTGCTGGAGATCTGACCTGTTATCTATTGAAGTCAGCAAAGAGCCTGCTGCTGACTTCAGATGTGAGGGCTTTGGATCAGCTCCTGAGAGCAGCTGCACGCACCCCATGCAGACAAAGAGCATTGTCTCCTAGGTTGGTACACAGCAGATATTGGCACTTTATTCTTGGAGTATACAGCAAATTGCAGGTCATACCTGCCCACTTCGCATTTTCAGTAAATTTTGGCCTGTGTTTTCATATAACAAAGCAACATGATATCAGTCCCTGAAGAAGTTCTTTTGCCTTTTGCAGGAACTACTTTGAGACTATGGTTTAGTTGTGAGTGAATATACAGCCAGTATTCAGCCAGGCTGCAGTTACTTTGTAGTGATGCTTAGTGAGGGTAAAAAAGACCAGGTTTGGTCTGTTTTTCTCTTTAGCACAAGGTACTCAAAACCACATGGGAACATGTTTGCCTAGAGGAAAGGAGGCAGAGGATTTGCACTGTTTGTATTTCATAAAGCATGGCTTTTAAGTGGGTGTTACTTGCCATGGCTGTTGCTGTTTAGACTCCAACCTATAGGTTCAGCTGTGAGAGAGAAAAAGGCAGGTTTTAGATCTGTATCAGGATAAGCAGAAACACCCCAAATAAATCCTTTAAAAATAGCAAACATCCCAGATAATCTTGCAGTGTCTTGGAACTGTTGCTATTTGTGATTAACTAAATCTGGACTGTGTCGCTGACACCAGAATTTGGCCCCAAAGTGATAAATCTGAAAGATATGTACTCAGGCTGCTGCTGCTTATTTTCTGCTCTGTTGGTCCCTTTCTCTTCTACCAATACGCACTATAAACACACACTCTCTTTCTGGCTTGTTCTCCTTCTCTCACTGCTGCTTCTGCAGCTGTCAGATCCTCTGTTTGCAAATTAACAGGAGGTCACCATTCCAGCTGGATCCTGTTTTTCCACATCCTCAGCCCACTTTGATGACTAAGTGAAGATCTGCTTATGTGAACATCCAAGGAGCAAAGATGGGCGAAGGTGAGCCCAGGCAGCTGACTGAAGTCAGGATCCCATTTCGTTACTTGCCCCAAGACCTTCCAACACCTTTGTGCAACTGACCGTACCAGCAGCTGCATCATCAAAAGAGGTTCCAGAAATTACAACAGAGCTCCACATGTTACAAAAAAAAAAATCTTTATTTTGGTTAAAATATGTATGTTTTCATAGAACATCTATAATACCACATCCAAAGATTTAGGTTTTGTTTTTTTTTAAATCAACAATATTATCTTCATGAGATATAACCATGACATATACTACAACCCCTTGATATAATAGGATTTCCTTCAGTTTCTTTGCTTATAACTTGCTGCTTATGCAAAAAAATCACTGATCACTTTTTGCCTATACTTGAGAAGCTTAGGCTGCTGAGCACATCTCACATCTCTGCCATTTTAGTCCCTTCCCCATCCCCTTGCCATCCGAGTTTCTGGTAGAGCAGTACAAGCGAGGATTCAGTAATCTTTGCCCCACACACTTTGAACATTAGAGATCCTGCACACAAATCACACAAATCTTACTTAGCTGTCGTTAAGGTATGAACATAGGTCATAGAGGGTAAACTAATGCTGGGAGGAAGAGAGCTCTTCCTCGCTCAGCATCCATCCGGCTGTTCTGTGAGTGCTAGTGTCTTCTGGGGGTGGAAGCAGGGTGCGTGTTTATGCACATGTGTGTGTGGATATGTGTAGGTGCATGTAGACCTGAGTTGCAATGGGCAGAACAGGGAAGATGCCATTAAACACCAAAGGTTGTTCCAGTTCTACTCAGCCCTCGAGGAGCTTTGGAACAGCAGGGGAGGTACAAGGAGCACCACTTATGCTCTTAGGAGTGAGGGTGAATAGACAAGGGACAGTATACTGAGCAAAAGAGAGGGCCTGCACATGTGTGAAAGCATGTTTGGGGTGCAGGAACTCGATGGCCTCATCTGATGTGTAGTTTAAGCTTGCCATTGGGTGGCTTTATTTTAAACAGGTCCTGGCCAAGTTTTTAACTTTTTCTCTCACTCTCTAGATAAAGGAGGCTCATGATTTCATTTTGATATGCCTTCATAATATTTTTTCTTCTTTTTTATAAAGTAAGTTAGTCTAATTATACAGCAGACTTGTTGATAATGTAATGTGACTGTTCTGAGTACTGGGGATTCCTCTCCCAGCCCTGTCGAATTCGCGTGAGAGGTTTGTCTAGACAAGGAAATATCAGCACAAATTTGACAACCAGCACCATGCATGGAATAATGAGGGAGAGCATATAGGCATTTGGAAGATACCATCTGTACGATGATGGGCTCAGGAACCGTTTTCCACCATAAACCAGTGTGTGTGCAGTGCACAAAATCAGTGTCAGATATCCCAGTTTGGACTAGAAGAGAACAAAGGAAAAAAGAAAGAAGTGGAGGTTAAAAAAGTGAATTAATCCAGAACAAATGCAATTTACAGGACACAGTAAGCTTTGTGAAATATGTGAGCTTTGGGACTAATTGGGGACTGCTGACATGAAACTGTTTTATATAATATAAAGACCCTTACTTTTTTTTAATAATGATTCATTCAAATGGATTTAGGTGAAACACATTTCTTTGTTTTTTTTTTTCTGCAGCAACAATCCTGATAATTTTTGCTACCTCATACATCCTGCCTGGTGGATGTCATATTTGTGAAAATACGGAGAAAACACTGCAATTCAGTGGAGAGATCCAAGCTTTTATATGCTCTAGTGCTAATCCATCCAGAAACACCATACTGTGCAAGTTTCTGGCCTTGATAAAACATTTATTGGTAGTAATTTCCCTTTCCCTTGCCTCCCTTCCCCTGCCAGCCCAGCTCCTGCAGAGGCATGGCAGCTTGCACCAAGCTTCCTCCAAACGGGGGGCTGAGATTATAGTGTTATCAAGGGCAGCCTGTTTATAGGCACATCAGTTTTTAAAGTCTGCAGAAACTGCTTGGCATTGAGAGGATCTGACTTATAAAGTAATTTTTCAGACCCATTTTATCTGAATTATCTTATGAACCAACAAAATTAAACCAATAAAAGTCACATATTTTGTGACTTAGTATAATTGTGGAATTTGATAATTCCACTATGTCAGCTTTCTGTTTGTCATTTAGGAGCTCACGTCTTCCCAATTTTCTATTGTTAATGCAGTAATCCCAGTTGTACCATAAGCAGCTGTCAGAGCAGCTGTGGTTCCTTACAGGTGAGCTGTATAGCTGTGCAGATTTTTTTCCCACTGTGTGGTGGTGGATAGCGCACACGTGGCATTTGGAGATACTAATGGAGGAAAGCGTTAGGTCTCTAGTAAACCTGCCTGTGGTCATAGTTGAATAGGGAAGAACGTGTTTTTAGAATAAGTCTTTTTCTTACCTGTACAAATCGAAATTCTCTCCAGTTGACATTGTTGCTAACTGAAGGCAAGGAAGTTATTCCCAGAAGAACAAACAAAAAAAATCCTAAAATCCCCAAAGCCACGTAGGAGTCACTAAGCCAGGCATTAGTGGTGTCGAGTGATTCTGTTTTATTGTTCAGGACCTGAAGAAAAGAAGAGCAGGTATATCTTAGTAACAGCAGTTTTAGGATCACTATGCAGAAAAAAATATCCTTTGAATTAACTAGGAAATAAATCTTATATATTAACTCCCTGAAAATCATCAGATATTTATTTTGAATGCCTTCTCAAAAAGCAAAAGGGGCATTATATTACATACCCGTTCCATGTACCTGTAATTGTGGTGTGTGTTTTATACTTCTGTAGGCCTGCTTTTGAGGACTGCTGTATAATCCTCTGTTGTTATATAAAATCAGAAAGTCAAAATATGTGACATTTTCAGAGACAAAATATGAGCCATTATTAAAGGTATATCGAGAAATGGGGAAGTGTGTTTCTTTAAATTACTCTTAATGCTTACATTTCCCCCACTTATGTTATTCATATGTAGACTGTTTAGGAGGAGGACTGAAGCCAGAAATCCCCTCAAATCCTCATAATATCAACAAACATTGGATATATCAGGGGTTAAAAGGAACACAGAAACTAGGAAAATAAACCTATTGTAAAGAATACTGGATTGTCCACATGAACTTCTGATGCTCAAGATAGAAAGATAGTATTTGTAACAAGGCTGTAAAAAAATGAAGACATAGGGTAAGGAACAAACGTTACCTGGGAGATGATTCGACTGCTCATTCTCCATCTTACAAAGTAGCGGATTGGGATAACAAGAGTGTACAAAACATGCAGGGAAGCAAATGCCAAGGCTACTAGTCCAAGTTGTTTCCTGGACAGCATCCATTTGTCCAGCCAGTCTGGGAAACGGTGGTATTTCGTACCTCTGTATAACTGAATAATTGCAGCCAGTACACCAGGAAGATAAACCAAGGCTAGAAGGATGAGTGCCAATATCGGGCAGATCCGATTTGGAATGGAAATTGCAATAAAGAATGAAAAGTCTTCATTTTCATAAACATAAGGATAAATCACATTGCGAATCAAACAGTAGAAGAAGAAGAATGCAGCTAGGCCAAAGGACAAAAGTATGGGAAACTTCCACATTGGAAAGAGCCGCAGAGGGTAATTTTCTATTTCCTGAGCAGCCAAGAGGGATCCCTGGTCTAATGGAGTGAGACCCAGTGCACGAACAATATTCATCACCATTTGCTTAGCTTCCATGTCATCTCCACAGACAAATACCTGCAGCCAAAACCAAACAGAAGCTTTATTTAGACAGACCTTAATGACATTCTCCATTGTCATCTTGCCTAGATATGGATCATGAGCACAAGCTTCTTAAGTACTTGTTTTGTTCCCTGTTGGCTCTGATTTATATAGGCAAAAAGTAGCATATAGATACTTTCTTGGCCAACAAGTCCAAAAACAAGGAATATGAAACTTTAAGATTGTTTAAAGTGGCAAAATTTTGCATCTGAAAAGGACAATGGGTAACACACTTAGTACAAGTCTTTACCTAGAAGACTTGACATACTCTTCTGAAGACCTGCAAGCAGTTTGTAAGCACAGGATTTCACAGGAGTAAATAGGAGCAAAACTTTCAATAGGAATGAATAGGAACAAAATTTTCAATTGCTGCTGCAGTGGTCCAAAAGTCCTCCAGGGAACTGGGGACAGAGAATTTTAAAACATGATTGTCTTATCAAAAAAGTAAATATTATTTCTCTTCAAGTCTAGCAAAATAGTGAACAAATAATCTTTTCTGTGTGTGTGCAAGACAGTACTCTTTTGGAACTTTAGAAAGGGGGCAGTTTCTGCTGTCACTGGTATGATGAAGTCTTGTAGACCTGAGGATTGGAAGCCCTTGGGTTTGTAATTTAGCCAAAACCATTTTTCTGACAGCAGAAAGTGGAGCTAGCAATGGTTGAGTAGCTGTCTGATTCTGTTTGCTGTAAAAGAGCACTGTTCCTCGCAGTGCCAGAAAACAGGGTAATAATAAATGGTTTGCCTTCAGGTATGCTGCTGTATTGCTTTCTATGACCAGCTCTGTGCCCGCTGGCTTGTGGTTAGGGAGCTGGTAAAAAGCACACGCTGTTGTTGTGGTAAACTTCTGTGGTGATGAATTCTCATTTAAAAAACTTTCTGAATTTATTCACCTTCCAGCTCACTTCTGTTGGTCATATACATTCTATTGCTGCATTATATCCCTTGCCTCCCTGTTTTTTCTCTCCTAGTTCTATTTTTGCTTTCATATATTCCTCCTGCCTCCTTTCTGTTTAACTTTACAATCCCGGTGAACAAATGATGTAACCCTCATTTCCTCCTGATTTGCTGTCTCTCTTTGTAGCTCTGCTTTCTTTCCTTGCTTCTCTAGTGTCTCCAAACACCTTCCTGAGTTCAGAGGCAAGCTATTGATATTCCTTGTCATGCTGTATTACAAGCGAAAAGTAAATTTAAGCTTACATTTATTTTTAAATGGTTGATTATAGTAAAAATACCATCTCAATCCTGTCTGATTTGTATATCCTATGTGTGTTTTGTCTAGCTGTGAAGAAGCTATATAATACTTAACTCTATGGCATAGGAAACCCTGGTTGCTCAGACTTACCTGCCGGCTTGCATCCAGTGTGCCTGACTGCAAGGCCCAGGCTGACACAGTGTTAAAGGCTTTCACAACCTTAGCTCCAGGCACCAGCTGAGCAAGGTACTCTGCATTGGATTCAGGATGCTCGTTTATTTTTAAGTTGTTGCTTACGTCCACCAGGACTTTTCCATGGAGGATTTCTGTTAGTGGTGTAAGGAAGTTGTAATGTTGCCTCTGGATTGCTATAATGATGATAGCAGCTTTCTGTGCTGCCTCTGCATGGCTCAACACCTCTGCACCCTTGGGAATCAGGCTGGATGTCTGTGTGCTCCGGCTTCCAAACACAACAGGATAGCCAGATTGAATCATTTTATGCCCCAGTGCTCTTCCAAAATCTCCAGTTCCAAATATGCACACTGTCTCTCTTTTGTTAGAGGTGTTAGGAGCCAAAGCCATTATGTTGGAAGAATTCTTATTCATCTGTTAAAAAAAAAAAAAAAAAAGTAATAGGAACAAATAAAGCAAAACATCAGTCTCTTGGCAATGAAAGTTTAGCATCCATTCTGGTGATACAAAATAGATACCTGAAAGTTTGTTTGCCTCTTAATATGCTTCCTGCACACTCTTTGAAACAGACAATCTCAGAAGAGTTCTGTACAGTTTTTAAAAAACAGTTCTGATTATTTACCTCTCCGTCTTTTACAGCATCTTCTTTTCCATTCAGTTTATGGATTTTAATATCGAGCTGAACTGTTGCAGTTTTCCTCTCTCAAAGGGAAAGAAAGAGGAAAAAGATACAGGAGCACAAACAGCAAGGGTTGCTCATGTTTTAGAGTGATTTCTGCTTATGCTATATAGAAGCATTGTAGAGGAGTGTGTTTCTAATTGGATTAGAATGTGGAAGGCCTTTTATAAAATACTTGAATAGGGGATATTATAAAAGTTAACTATAAACCTTTCTGTTGTCTTCAGTATTTCCTTAATATGACTAGTCAGTGCTAGTTTATTTTATTATTGTTCTTCAATTTCCTGAAGAATGTCTTCTGAAGCATTTAGTGGAATTGGAACATTTCATGTTGAACATAGATTTTTGATATTTATATATTACTCAATAAAATTCCGTTTGAGGTTTTTATCTATCCTCCTTTATCACTGTACCTGGAAGCTTCGAAGTCTTTAATGTATTATCTATGCCATAGCAGTACGTATGCTCTGTACTTGCAGAGTGAGACCCATGATACAAGTACAGAATCAAAAAGGTCTGCTCCAAAAGTCTTGCAGCAGGTCCACATGCTGTGGTCCTCACTTTACAAAAGGTGAACTCAGACTGGAAACCTTAGGCCACGAGACAAACCTCCAGCAGATCTTGAGATCCCCTTCTGTTGGCCTGGCCAGCGGTTTAGTACTGAAAGCAGCCATTCAGCAGGAGCTCTGATTCAAGACTCACTGCATCACAGGTAAGTGTCTTAATTAAAGCTGTAGGAATAAGTGATTTCTCAATTTTCGGGAAAAAAATGCATGAAATAAGTAGTTCGCTATTATTAGTTAGCTAATGGCTTTGCTACTGCTGATTATTAACACTTTGCTTGCATTATTCTGAGAAGCACCATTCAAAGTGCCATCTGAAAATACTGGGACGATGTTCTTAATTTTCTTCCATGTTTTTCTCTAGCCAGAACAGTTTTTGCTTTTTAAAAACCTGGCACAATTTTAAATTGTTTGGACAAAAACTTGCATTTGCTTGGTTACTAAAATAATCAAGCCTGAACTTTGCCTACACTACATTTCTGTGACCTAGAGTTAAGGACCATAAGTCAAGGATGCACACATCTTTTTGGCCTGTGTTGTCAGGTGTTAGCTTCACTACCAAGATAGGCAGAGAAATGCTTATCCTGAGACTCATATGTGAAGATTTTGGCTTGAACAAGCTCTGTATACAGCTAGCCTAGCCCTCAGTTGGCATCAGTGTCTGCTTAGCACTGTTCTTGCAGTGAGCTGTGGGAGCCCTGGGATTTAGACAGCTGCCAACAGAGTTTGTTTCTGATCAGTAGGCAAAGGCATCGGCTCAGGCAGAGAAGGGCATGAGGATCTGTGTGCTCATAGCCTGTGTGGCTCGAGCAGGTCCCATGGGAGGCTTTGCAGGGCAGCAGTGTGTCAACCCCAGATCTCCTGAAATGCAGGCCCAGCTACCCAGCTGGACTCTGTGTACTTTGTCAAGTAACACGCTGAGCATGAAAACAGAGCCTCAAAAGAGCACATCTGAATGTCTCCTGCATATTTGTGTGCTCTGACACATGCATACAAATGCAAAGTACTTTGACATATTTAAAAATCATTCCCTGAGGGCTTTATTAATATCCTATGAGGCTCTGATACGACTGAAGTGATTAAATTCCTTTTATGGGATAGTCTGTATTTCAAAAAGAAGAGTTGCATATGTAATATTAATGAATGGTCCAACTCAGTACCTAGTAAGACCCAACCTTCCTTTTGTAATTTTTCTTTTTAACAAAGTAGGCTCCTGTCTAAAAGGAAAAATGAAATTTATTTGTAACATGGGATTGTCCAGTTGAAAATGTCTCTGTTTGCCCTCAAAAAATCATTAAGTTATTGTTGAGTGAGCTATGCAGATCATTCTCCTCTCCAAAGTAAGACTGCAAAACCTCCAAAACTCAAAATGGATGTTGCCAGGTAATATATTTAGTAGATCAATTAATGTTATGTTTTGTTTGAGCTCATGAAAGTATTTAATATAGACATGAATCCAACAGCAAGAAATAAGTCTATAAAAGCGCTTCTGTTTCTCACTGATACTGAACATCTCATTTACTAGTGAGCACTGAAGTCATCTTGCCAGAAAAGAGAAAAAGAGGGAGATGAAAAGAAATATTAATGTAAGGAACATTCTTTTTTTTTTTCAAAATACAATTTCTTGGAGCACTAAGATGTAAAAGGACTTGTACAAGGCAGTGGATATTATTTCATAGAAAACGAAAGAGAGTTGAAACTGCCTTTAATACTGGAGGTCTAATTTAGTTGAATGCCACTTTTTAACTTTGCCTAAATGAAGCTGAATTTACCTTCTCTTTTAAAGAATTACTTCATAGGGATGCCCATGTTATGATACGATGGTACACTTCATATATTAAAGTGGTCACCAATGAATCTTTGAACAAATTAAATATATTATAAAACTGACATCAGTTCAACAGTGCATCTGCTACTTAATCACATGTAAGACAAGGCAAGTTTGCTTTTAAATCCCAGACCTTCTGGACCACATCTCCTTCCAACAAAGACAGAAATTAACTTAGTTTTCTCCACTGAATCCTTTTTTCCTTCTTCCAGCATGCCTTTGTGCCAGTTGGCTGATGTCAAACTAATGGGAGGTTGCAGGCTTTGTAGTGAACTTCTGGAGGTTACTTCAGGTAGTAGGTTATGAGCACATAGACAATGCATAGATAAATTCTGGCTTTGCTGTGTGAATTTGAAGAAAATGCAGCCTGTGATGGCAGCTGGGTGGGTATAAAGTCAGAACAAGGAAAATGGCCTTGCAGAGACCATGAGCGTGATAATGGCAATTCGAGAGCATAGCAATTTTCCATAAGACAAGGTGTTTTATCATCCTACATCCGTGTGAGAAATGGAAAGCAGAAGTACATTGCAAAGGCCACAGGGCCACCCTGGTGTCTGGGAGCTCAGCCCAAACAGCTGATGGCAGTGGGAGTCTGCTCTGTGCCTATGGGTTATGCTGAGCACTCCCAAAGCGCTAGAGGAAAACAGAAATGGCAGGAAAGAAACATGTTGTAACTATTATTTGTTCTTTTGTATATGTAGCAATACACTTTCTGAGGAAAAGCCATAGAGATTTGTTTCCATGCATTGTATTTTTGCTTATATCCAGACCCCTAACATTAGAGCACCAGTGATGCCTTTTGTCATTTGAAAGATAATCCATTTAAGCTTCTGTAATGATTAACTGTGTTTTTTCTCTTCTGCATTGTTGCTGAATTATCCTATTTTAAGGAAAATGGTGGTAATTTCTGAGTTTACTTGGTCAGTAACGATAAAAAGAGGCACTGAAAATAAAAAGCTAACTGCAAAACTGTTGGTTTTATCCACTACATAAACTGCATAGGGGAACTGAATAAAGGTACGATTCAGCAGTTACATGTAAATACTTTGGTATGTAGGAATTTGAATGAAGTCAGGCACATCATTGCATTGTATAGGGGAAAAAGGAAGAATTTCCTATCAGAAGCAATGCCACAGGTGAAGTACAGTGCCAAAAGCAGAAAGGCAGAGACGGAACTGGGACATAGGCTGTGGTGGATAATGGCATGATAAGAAAGGTATGACATGGAATGGCAGATGAGAGGTCAGTGGAATGATTCCAAAGGTAGAGATACAAGATGAAAGGAGCTGGAAAGAGCAATTTTATTATTTACATTTAAAAAAGAAGGAAACCAAATAACTCTGGTAGTGATCTCAAGAGATAATCTAGTCCATCTCCCTCCCTAAGGCAGGAAGAAATTTATTTAAATGGTGTGTGATGGACGCTTGTCTAACCTGTTTGTAAAGCCTTCCTATGTTGTGGATGCTGAAGTCTTCCTTGCTTACTGCTTTCTCAACTATATGATTAGGCAGATTTTCCTACATGTAATCTGCATTTCGTCCTCCACTGTGCTCATAGGTGTCAATTTGCTCCCCTTCTCTTTGCAGCAGCTTTTGTCAGACAGGAAAGGGATTCCTATTTCACCCTTTTCTTCTCTAAAGGAAACAACCCCAGATCTTTGCCTGCTACTCATGCTTCTGAGATTAGAGATATTTCTTATGCCTTTCTTCTGATCTTTCTAGGCTAAACTGCTCCAACTGTTAAAGTTGGGTCTAAAACTGAATACAATACTCTTGCTGAGATCTTACCAGTTAGAAAAGGATTGCTTCATTTGCCTCACAGGCAACACATCATCCTGCTGTCACATTTGCCTTATTCACAACAGCTGATTCATAGTCAGTTTGTGATGCATTAAAGCTATGAGTATTTTAACAAGTAGTGTGTAGCAACAGGAACCAAAATGTGGAGTGGAATAGCTGATGCTGAGCATATGATGTTCACTTTTCTCATGTATCCGATATTTCCACCTTGAGCTAACTTTGTTCTAGTACCACAGCCTGAATGCCCACTAGCAGCTGCAGTGCATTGGGATGCAAATAAAGCATGTCTTCTGGCACATCTTTCATGGTAAGAATCTAGTCCCATATGCTCCAAGAGGTTTGTGTGGTGTAAAGCAAAGCTTGAAAAGTAGTGATCTGCTTCTATATCTGATCAGAACTGAAATATTAGAGTAAATGCATCTTGTTACTCCCAATCTTTTAATTGGACTGCTCCCACGCACTTGCTCCTCCCTCAATTTCTCTATTTCTTTCTGACTCAGAAATGTCTCATGCACTTGTCCCTGTTGAATAGCACCATAGTTTTT